AAAGCTTTCTACATTCTTGATCCATTCAAGAAAGCCTTCGATATCTAACCTGCCATCAAACGGAGGAAGATCAACTTTCATCTTGTATTCACTGGTTTCGCGGGGTTGATAGGGGTTGTACAGCTGCTGTCTCCGGTCATCCCACAACGGCATATCCTCCTCATCACTCGATGAATCTACAGGGAATTGTTGTCGGCGAGGGCCTTGAACAAACCGACGACGCACACACTTTTCTTGCTGTCTTTCTTGATATGGTGGAAGGGCATAGTATGATTCTTGATGGTTACAAAAGGTTCTGGGATAAGGTTCTTGGTTCGGATTGTGGGCTAATTCCGAATGTTGACGAAGAGCAGGATGAGGTTCTTTAAAAGGAACAGGATCTTTCGGCATTCTTGGCACTTGGTGTTGTGCATCGCAATCCAAAGCCATCCCCTGTTCTTGAACCTCCTTGCCATTCTTTTTTCTTGGTTGTTCTTGTTGTATCTGCAGGCCATCAATCTTGTCTACTAAAACGTTCAAGATTTGTTTAATCTCAACCACATTGTGCTGTAAATTTTCAACAGCTCCTTCAACCATCAGCAAGCGAATGGTTGATGACCGTGGAGAGAGAGCGGTGGTTGGTTCCGCTTCTTTGTCACCGAGTGAAGAGTCTCCACTTACCGGAGCATTCTTTCTTCTCGCCATGGACAATTACCCAAGGACGTTGGTTGCTCTGATACCAAATTGGTGTAGGCAATTTAGAGAAAAAACTAGGATTGTATTCAAGTGTAGGAAAAGTTACAAATGATCAGCTATTTATAGGAAATATCCTAGGGATATGGGAAGAACTAATAACTTAACTATGTAACTAACTAACTAACTCAAAGCTAACTAAAGTAGTTACTGATAGTTACATCACAACCCTATGGCAACACCTCAACAGAGCCTTTATTTGGTCAATTTAGGAACTCTGGACTCTTCAATGACAAAGAAAACTCTTCTCAACATGTGGTAGAATCTCTCTTTTTTGGCATTATCTTGGTGTAAAAATGTCTCTCCTTTTAAAAACTATAGTTTGAATTCTCTTACAAGAGAAGTAGGTTTTAATCCTTTTGTATAATTTCATATACCATCAATGAAATTGTTTCCAATCCACCAAAAAAGAAAAAAAAATTACCAAAGACATTCTATTGTTTTTTTTTTTTCTCATGTTCCTAAAACAAATATATTTTCTTAATTTATTAACAAACTTGTCACTGGCTATTTCTCATTTTAATATATATATATTTTTCAACAAGAAACAAACTTTTTATTGATTAATGAAAAATTAAAAAAGTGTTCAAAAGATACAAACTCCTATGGAAATGAGAAAAATAAAAAAACAGTAAAACTATCTAAGAACAAAAGCTTCCCATGAAGAACAAATAGTGCTAACAGGGTAGTCCTTCAAAAGATGAGAAATCAAACACCATCGAGATGCTTTGAACTTAGTTAATTCAAAACGGTCAAGTCAATCCCTTCTCTTCTCTTCGAAGATTCTTTGGTTTCTTTCCAACCAAATTTCTTAAAGTATAGCTTTAACTGCGTTTGCCATAATAATCAAGCTATTTCTCATTTCAATATATCCAATTCATTAGAACATATTCTTTCCCTTTGTCACTGCACAAATTATGTTATTATGTTTTTCTTGTCAATTATAGATTTGGAACCATCCTGGAATCCTGCAATTGTCAAAAGAAGACAAATATTATGTGAAGCGTGAAGATGCTGTTGAAAATTTTCTTGCAGATGACAGCTCTAGTGATGAAAACATGGATTCTAATATTGGCATTGGAGGTATATTTCGTCAGATGTTGGATCTTTCTGTATTATTTATTTTCTGGTGATTGTAAATAATAGTAGTCAATCTTGTATATTAGGGGGAAGTAGCTGTCAAATCTAATTTCTTTTAGTTGGAGTCAGGTTTATTCTCTACTTTTAAGGGGACCATGGAATTATTCTCTAATAGAGAAAGTAATATCACTATATTTTAACAAAAACCTTCTTGGTATAATATTAGGACCTGTAGGGGGAACTTCCTAGCCCCTTCTTTTTTTAAGGCACACCTTTATTCAGTGATATTTCCTTGTCTGTTTGTTTGAGGTCTTTTCATCCCTTCAACCATTTGTCTCGTCCAGCTGTTTGACCATTAGGTAGGTTTTTGGTTCCATTTTTAATTCATTCAGGTCTATTTATTCGAGGTAAGTACATTATTGATTCTTTAGTTTGAAATCCATACATTTGTTTGTTCTTCTGCTATATTTCTTGTTCGTTCTTGTCACCATGTTTGTGGTATCATTTTAACCAAACCTTGATGAAATTCATGGAAAACCAACTTATCATCCCAACACGTGCTCTAGTTACATTATTTGACTTAATGGAGGTGACTTCCTGTGATGGTCTTGTAAGTGTTTGAATGGGCTGTATATTCATGGTAAAAAAAGGGTATGCTATTAGAGACAGAATGCACTAGCGAGGATCCTTCATACGTCTAAAATTCCATGGATCAAGATAACAGTGCTAACTTTATGTGCTATTCGACAACAAAGGATCCTTTTTGTCTAAAAAACTCTATTCTTTATGCATGGTAAAAAAAGGGTATACTATTAGAGACAAAAAGAAAGCATTGGCCACTATGGATAAAGATATCAGTGTTGACTTTATGTGCTATTCTACAAATAAAAAAATTTATGGAAAATATAAACTTGATGTATTGACACCAAGGCAACTAGACTAAAATCTTTTTAGTTGATACTGTAACTGAGAGAACCTTAACAAGGAGAGAATACAATCACCAACACTCTAAATCTAATTCATCGAAAAGGTCCCCTCCTGCTCTAATATTTTATTAAACATGAATAAACCACCAAGTTCATTGGTGGTTTATTCATGTTTAAGATGAATTTAATTCACTTATTGGATATCTTAACAATACTCATCATGTTCATCATAGATGATTTCCTTGCCCTAAAGTGACCTTGCCTGATTGGGAAATCTTTGAGCATTTCGATATAGAAAACCCCAAGTGTGTTATATTCTAGGTGCTTAAACTATGTGATTGATAAATCCTCCTTTATTTATTGTGAGCTAAGGATCCACCCCCCTTCAGAATTTGGTTCATATTGTTCATTGAGTAACCTTTGATCATGAACCATAGAATAAGATCTATTTTGTATCGTATTTAAGGGATTCTTGGGTTTTGGCCATTGAGGCAATGTTCCTCGATCATTTTCAAATTGCCTTCCTTCATTTTCTTTTTTTCAACAAGAAACGAAAATTTTCGTTGATGAATGAAAATAAACAAAGAGTTCAAGGAAACAAACTCCAAACGGGAGTGAGGAAAAATAGTAAAGCAAAACAACTAGAAGCAAAACAACGCAACAGACCCAGAAGATATAAAAATTGAAAAGAGCTTGAAAATGTAGTAGATCAAAATCATTCTCAACAAATCGGTAAGAAGTGATCATATGTTTAGAGTTTTAATTGGGACCAAAGAACTTGAGTGATTGGTTTGGTTTAAAAGTTAAAACTCAGAAGATAAAGAATTATAGTTGATTTGTTCATGTTTATGGTCCAAGTTTGAAGTACTTGTACAACTAAGCTCCCTATTTTGTACCAACTACAGCTAGTTTAAAGTTAGCACATAAAGAAACCTCTCCCACCAAGCTACAAAAACTGCATCCTGGAACGCCTTGTAAGAGGCCAAAAAACTTGAAGTATTCGCCCAGCAACTTTAAACAATCTCCCTTTTGTAGAAGGCAGGCTCAACCAAACAAATATCTCTGTAGTGATGAATCGGCCAAAGCACTTAGTTTACAACCCAGCATTCTTGTATTTTTAAATTTTAGAAGGCAGATGACACCATGATTTTTCTTTTTCTTTTTCTTTTCTTTTGGATAGGAAACAAATTTCATGAAATTTTTAAAAGAACAAATCCTATCCAATGAAGTTACAAAAAACTTCTCCAGTTGGATATGAGAGAATTTAAACTGTAACTATTGAAAGGATTTACAAGCTTGCACCAAGATGAAGCCAAAAAGATATAGTGTTGATCAAAAGTTGGTGGGTATGCTCCTTTTCCTTGAAAATTCTGGAGTTCCTCTCTATCCACAAGATCCAGATCCAGATGAAGGCTGAAAATATTATCCTCATATCACCAGCATAGAGCAAGAATCAACAGAACATAAGAAACAAGTAGGATGCAGATGACACAATGGAGAAATTCACTGTTTCTGTTGGTTATTTTGAGTAGAATTAGTCCATAATTGCAGCAGGTATAAATTATTTAAAAAAATGAATGCCTTGTTTAAAATATATGAATTTTTCTTTTATTTTTCATATTTTTATTTCCCTCTTGCTGAACCTTTTTTTTTTTAACAGTTATTTTATTCATCGTTGCCATGCTTTAAGTGTCTCTGTATGTGTAATAACGTAATGATTGTTTCGATATTTCTTTGCTTAACAGAGAAGCCAGCGAATGCCAATGGAAATCATCAGGATAAGTTTGTTAGTGGCTTCTTCATTAAGGTATGTGTTACAATTTGCTATCTATTTTTCATCTTACGTTTCAAATTTCCCCACGAAGAGTTCTGTTAGATTGTTTTTTGGTCACTGGAGATGAACGCAGCTCTGTTGCTCCTTATTCTTATTTGCAATTTATCAATTTGATATACAACATTTATGTCATGATGTGCAGACTAGTCAAATTAAAACTCTCATACAAGGTTTCGCAATGCCCTTTTATTTATTTTAGGATTGGTGGAATGGCCTGCTTCATGCAAATAGTTACAAGGAGCTCGATTACAGTGGCAAGATGGTTTTGCTACTGGAGATCTTAACCATGTGCTCTGAATTGGGTGATAAGGCATTGGTATTCAGCCAGAGCATTCCTACGCTTGACCTAATTGAATTCTACCTTTCAAGATTGCCCAGACGAGGAAAGGGAGGAAAATTTTGGAAGAAGGGTAAAGATTGGTATAGGTACGCAATAGTATTATGTTTGCTCACTTTCTGCTTCTCATTTCAAAATTTGGGAATTTCTTATTTTATTATACCCTCAACCCAAAAAAGTTAAACCTTAATTGTCAGGCTTGATGGAAGAACTGAGGGTTCCGAAAGACAGAAGATTGTTGAAAGGTTTAATGAGCCTTTAAATAAGAGGGTAAAATGTACCCTGATATCTACTAGAGCTGGATCATTGGGCATCAATCTTCATTCTGCTAATCGCGTCGTCATAGTGGATGGTTCTTGGAATCCAACTTATGATCTTCAGGCTATTTATCGTGCTTGGAGGTAGTATATTTATCTTATTCTTGTTCCACCTCTTACTCAATAATACAATTATTTCTGGAAATTCAATGGCCATGTCAGACTTGGGTATATAATTTTATTTATTACGCAAGAGAGCATGCCATGAGGAACTTGGGCATTTTTTGCCGGGTACTATTCTGGTGATTTTCTGCAGAATGTCACTTCTTAGGATGTAAAAATACTCCTAAAAATAGATGTCACGAGCTCATCAAAACACTAATTTGTTGTAGAATTCTTACAAACGAAGGTAGATTCATGAAACCATTTTTGTGGCCTGGGGGTTATTGAAGGAAAAAAGTACCCAAGTTTGAAAAGTTCAATACTTCCACGGATAATTTTTCCCTTCCGGAACTTACATTTTCAGCAAAAGTGATCCAATGTTTCTCTTAATTCTTCTGTAACCCAACTTGCCAACTCCGACACCAAATCCCCTTGCTGTAAAAAGTAATAGTGAGCCACGAAATGAAAATTTTATCATATTGCAAAATTTTGCTAAAGCCAGATGAAATTAGCCTCTAAAAATTGTAATCCTTCATTCACACCAGAAAAAACTCATTCATGTATAGGGAGATGTTTGAGGTATCAAATTTAGGTTCCATGCATTATTTTCTTGGCATGGAGATTCATCAAGAAAAAATGGTATTTCACTACTCAAAGAAAGTATGCGAAGAAATTTGGAAGGAGTTTAAGATGGATACATATAAAGTCGTTTCCATTTCTTCAACATCAAATGATCAAATTTAAAAGTCTCTGAGGCATGATGGCGAGAAACTCTCTAGTTCCACAATTTGTCAAAGTTTGGTCGGGAGCCTCCTTTATTTGGTAAATTGGTTGCATCTAAGTCAGGCTTTGTATTTGCTGCAAGTATGCTCTCAAGATATATGAATTTTCCTAGCGAAGTCCTGAAACTCAAAAGGGTACTTCTGATTACGGAATCTAGTTTGAATTTGTGACTTAGATTGGATATGTTGATTGTGGTTGGGCTAGTTATATCGATAATTCTAACAGTTTTGTCAGCTATATTTCTTTTCTCTTGACACTTGAATTTTCCCTTGAAACTCGAAACAAGATGTTGTGGCTCAATCTATCATCGAAGTTGGATGTATTTCAGCTGCATTAGTTGCAACTTGCAAATCAAGTGATCTAGCTTTGCATTCTAGGTGATTTGGGACTTAACCGAAGAAACCTATAAAATTTTTCTTTTTAACGAGTCTAAAATGCTATTTCCTCTAGAAGAAAACACATCAAAGTCAAGTTTCTTTAAATCGAGTGAGGCATAGAAAGGTCAGACCAAGCTCATTTATTGTAGCTCTGCACAACTTGTTGACATTCTCACACGAGGTCTATCATATAAACAATTTGCATCTTTATGCCTCAAGTTGGATGACAGCAAATCTCAAAGAGTGAGATTTGAGTGTTTTCCTTAATTAAATATTTAATTTTAAGTTATTTTTCATTTATGTTTTTGCTTTTTAAATTCCTTATTATTAAACATCTACAATTAATGTGCTTTGAAGTTTTTCAATTTAAGCTAGATCTTAAAGAAAATTCATTATTGTTTCTATAAAAGCATGAGCATTCTATGTGAGTTTTGTATCATCAATAAGAAATTATCTTTCTTTTCACATTTCACTCTCATATTTCCAATTTTACTTTGAAGCTGCATTTGACGGTGGTCTCCAAAAAGTTTTATTGTTTAATATAATACATGACTTATATGAACTTTTTTTTTAATCTTGCAGATATGGCCAAACAAAACCTGTGTTTGCTTACAGATTTTTGGCACATGGAACAATGGAAGAAAAAATTTACAAGCGTCAGGTATGGTAAAGAATTTACTTACATTTCAATGAAATTCTTTTACGGACTTGAATTTGATGAAAATTAAGTTTGATAGGTAACAAAGGAGGGACTGGCGGCAAGAGTTGTCGATCGCCAACAGGTATACCGGACTATTTCTCGGGAGGAAATGTTGCATCTTTTTGAATTTGGTGATGATGAGAACCCTGAGGCTTCCACCGAGTTGGACCAAGGAAATGGCCATGCACCTCACCCGACTACAACTGGGCATCATGGAAATGTGCTCAAGCAGAAAGGGCCTCTTTCCCATGGAAGTTGCTCATCTGACAAGTTAATGGAAAGTTTACTTGGCCAACACCATCCGAGGTAAATTCTTTGAACATATTAATCATCTATTGTTATAAAAATGGTACATAATTGGAACATCAGACAAATTATTCTCTTGTTTGTAAGGGAACCTTAAGAGGAAGTTATAATTACAAACTTACCCGGAGGTGGGAGTACTAATGATCCTTAAGACTATGAAAACTAAATGCAGATCTTTTTGGTGCAACATTGAAATTGATCATTCATAATCTGCTTTCAAATTGATCACCATTATTGTTATGTTATTTTTTAATATCTAGATCAACTTACACGCACCTTGATTGATCTAATAGGATAGTCGTTTGACCTTGCAACATTTGGGGTTATCAAGAAATTCGAAGGATTTTATTTTCTAGGTGGGTGGCAACTATGGAATTTGAACTTATTCCTATAAAATTATTTTTACTTTTTTCATTTGTTATAATAGTACTAGACCAACTTAGAGTGGTTTATAATCCTCCACTATTAGAACCATGAAATTGGGTCGCTTCTATTTTGTCTATTTAATTCTACACTCTCTGATGCAACCTAGAATGTAAGAGAGACTGAACTCCAATAGTACTCTACAAAAGTAATTATTGAAGAGTCTTTCAAATACAATAAAATTAACCCTGGAGGATGTTAGCCCACCAACCAAAAAAACCAATCACTAAGAAAATAAGTAATAACCAAACTTCTATAACCAACTAATAAGAAATTATAAAATCATAAGATTATTATTATTTTTTAAGAAGAAACAATCAAAAAAGGAGAACAATGACAGCCTAAGGGCTCAGGTGGAGGTTACCCCCAAAATAACTAGAGTAAGGCCTTCCACAGTATACAAAACCAGGAGCATTCAGACTATGATTTTATACTCCGATTATTTTCCTTTCTTCCAAAATGACAAAGTTTCCTATCGTTCTTAGTACAAAATGGAATGAAAATCTCGCATGATTTTGTGGTTTGCATCCTTAATATTTCTAGTATGGGAATTCAGGTTTCACCAAATTCCATGTGCTATAGTTCTGATGGCCTCTCTTTATTCAGGTGGGTTGCTAACTACCACGAGCACGAAACATTACTGCAAGAGAATGAAGATGAAAAGCTATCAAAGGAGGAGCAAGACATGGCATGGGAAGTGTACAGAAAATCATTGGGATGGGAGGAAGTGCAGAAAGTTTCGCCAGGTGATTTAACGTCCGAGCAAAAGCTAACCACGTCAAATGTCGCTCATCCTGCACCCGAGACTATCAATCTGGCACAATCAAGGGCAAGGAACCGATTCATTACTCGTAAATGTACTAATCTTTCCCACTTGCTGACACTAAGAAGTCAAGGGACAAAAGTTGGCTGCAGTACAGTATGTGGAGAATGCGCTCAAGAGATAAGCTGGGAAGAGCTCAACAGAGATAGCAAGCTAGGGAAGTGACGAACAGCTTCATTCTTCCATTCTATCTATATTTTGTGCTGCTATTGCAGCCTCCGTAAGTCCAATTCTTCTAACAGATTCTAACTTTAGCAATTCCTTTTTGTAACATGAATCCCTTTTTGGCTCCACTTTTATGTTTCTTTCAGGTCCTTTTTGTCTTTTTCTATTTTATTTTTTGGTGAGGGGGGCAGACATAATAGAGAGAAGGGTATAATTCATATTGGTTAGTTGAAACTAGGTCTGTATAGATTTGTATTCTGTGATCTTTCAATATATATAGTTGAATGAAATAGCAGTAAGTTCTCTGTTCTTGTTTCATTTACACAGCTCATTGCTCTGAGGCTATAATTTGTTTCTGCATAATTACTTTTCTTTTACATTTTATTCCTGGCTACTATTATAATTTCATAAAACATAGAAATCCGAGCCATTTGAAACTAATTATTTTGTTTTCTGTTTTCTGATTTAAAAAATTAAGCTTATGAATTTTACTTTTAAAATTTTGTTGCTTTGTTTTGTCACCTACTTTTTAAACTGTTGTCATAATCTAAGTTAAATTTTGAAAACTAAAAATAATAATTTTTAAAAACTTATTTGATTAAGAAATTAAATGTGTTTGTAAGAAATGTTAACAGCATACCAAAGGAGAATGTTGATAAAATACCAAAGGAGTGATGATGAAATAGGCATGATTTTTAAGTAAAATTAATTTTCTCAATTTTCACTCTAAATTTTCAATTTCTTCAAATCAACCCTATTCTTAAATTAGTATAGCAATTTTTACCTACAATTTTAAAAGTTCCAATTTGGTCAGAATCAATTTTTACGTTGCTACGACTCAATGTCATCACTCGAATAGGGGAGAGATGTGGAATAATCATATGTATGGATTTTTGAAGTTTGACCAAATGGTAGAGATCAATTGAGATTTCAAATCTAAAACGATCCAACTAAACACGCCATGCATGCTCTACACACCCGCGTGCTAATTAGGCATATGAGTGTTGTAAATGATTTTGTGAAAAGAAAAAGAATGAAAGAAACTGTATTAGCTCTTCTAATTTGCTCTCAATGATACAATTCATTTAAATTCCATTCATCATCTCTCTCTTCCATCATACATCGAATATCACAGCAGCCACAAACACAACGCCATACCCAAGAAAAACAGAAAAAACAGCAGCACGACCCCCCAACCAAAATTAAAAATTAAAAAAATAAAAAAAGAAAAAAGAAAATCTCTCTTTCTCTCTCTT